TCATTTCCTCCCGATTCTGCACGAGAAATCCTTCTTTCACCCACGATGACGTTTCTAAAAGTGGGATGAAGAAGAGAAAAGCCAACTTGTCTCCAACCATAAGAACATGTAGTCAGACAACTACTCAGTCCTCTGCAGACAACTCAGTCATAGAAACAAGTCCGATTCAATCAGCCCGACAGGAGTTTAAATTGTGCAGTTTTCACGATTTAAAGTTACTTTTCACCATCAAAACACCAAACGGTCTCTTTTCCCAGTGGATGAATCCCAACGCCATCGATACGATCCATTTCACCCGAGTCGACAGCAGTGACAAAGTTTCATTACCTTCATGTTTAAAACTAAAATAATACCTTTTGACCATTTTAATTTATTTCTTTTGGAAAATGAAACTCCAGTGGGAGGAACATGGACATCGATGAGGACACATTTCATGACTGTATTAATGCACCAACGAGTCAATCAGCAAAGACGTAGACGTGACAACTGACGGAACAACATTTGTTGAGGTGCGGCCGTATTAGAAAGAGACACAACCTTGAGATAAAGAAAAACACCTGACGCTGCGACACACAAACGCACACAACGCGCGCGCCGCACAACAGCTGCCACCCTGCAGCTTTAATCCTGACAAATTGCCACAGCGATTTACTGCAAGGTGTCTTTCCAAAGCTCCTTTATCTGCCTCGCCTTTGCGTTCACTGACACACACACAGACGCACACACGCAGACACACACGGCCCTGAGATTCATCCTCCCATCCGCAGCCTCCTCAACAGGCCCCATCATCTGAAGTGTGCGTCGATGCTGCGAGTGTGTACCCGTGTTCCTGCTTGTAAGCTGACGACTAACTGGCCTCTGGGCTGCACGTGTTTTTGTGCGTGTGCGCGTGTGTGGCTTTGATGTAGGCGCTTCCAGCATGGCGAGGTCGCGCCCCCTTCAGAGGAGCGCCGGCTCGCGGCTCGTAGGAAGGACGACCGAAAAGTTGTTCTTCTTCTTGGGAAGTCGACGTTCCTCCAAAAGGCTTTTCTTCATTTCTCCCCAAAGGAAGCTGCTGGTGCCTGAAGTCCAGCATCACGTGACGCGGCGCCTTGTTGCCGACGTCGTCTTTTGTTTACTCTGGCGACGAGCACAAAGGACTTCATGCGTCGTTTACATTGAATTATTCTGATAAACAGCAGAAGGCGAAGAGCAAACGGCGTGTGAGGAGACAAACCAAAGCGTAGAAGCTGACGGACTGCAGTATTAACACACAGTGTGTGGTGTCGCTTTAAAGCGGTTATTTGCTGAGAAATGTACAATATAAAAAGGAAAAATTATTAAAATTGTATTCATTAAAACTTCTCCAGCAACAGCGTGTGAAGTATTGGGCTGAAAGGAGGATTCAGCAGAGAGAAGAAGCTCACAAACACATTGATCGCTTGTTAAGTGGAGCAGTGGAGCCTCGTCCATCGCCGGGGGACAAACGGCCAAAAGGTCCTGAATCTCAAGCCCAGTTTTAATTCCACTGTTTTAATTGATCAAATGAAATGTTGGCATCAGCAGCGCACGACCTTCGACCTTTCACCTCAACCTACCCGGTGAATCCACAGCTGGAGGAGGACAGACGTTTCCAGGCGAAGTTGGTTTAATTCGTCAGGATTGTTGATCTTCTTATTTTGGATTTGAAATAATCTCCATTCGCACCGTCGCCACGAGCAGCTCGATTAAAAGTCTCAGCGCCGTTTGAAGTTCGCCTTCATCTTCAGGTCCCCGGGATCTTCGTCGGGATCTGCAGACGGGGACCCTGAGCGTGCATAAATATATTTAGACAAAGAGTGAGTTTTCCGTTGGGTTGGATGCTGCTGGAGGACGAGGCGTTCGGTACATCGGGTCCTCGCAGTGCCGTCAGGAGGGGGCGAGCTGTCGGCGGGTTCCAACGTCTGACTTTGGGAGACCTTGCCGGGAACATAGAACCCTGCGAGAGACCTCGGCGGTGGGCCTGTAACGAGGACATTATGCCGGCGGGCGTCGATTCGCTCGCCACCACTCCGTTATTAATTAAAATCGGTTACAGTCGTTGCTTTCAGACCTCTAACCCACAACTAAAAGCACAATCCGTAATCATTTCCCCGAACGCGGGCGTTTAGCGGCACCCTCACACCCCCCGTGGTTCCTACACACTCTGTAACCTTCAGCCGAGGACGTTCATGCAGTCGAGGGTTGGAATTGATGAGTTCCGGAGTTACGCGTTGGCGACTTCAGCCGCTGCGTCGTCTCACCCGAATCGCGCGAACATCTGGATGCAGATGCCGCCTCAGCATGTCGTCCAGTGGAATGTTCGGGCCGCGTGCCGTTGCCTCATCACTCCCCGGCGCGTAGACGCGTCACATGGGCGGTGACGTCATCGACTCATTGACGTTTTTCACGGCTTCACACCAAACTCGCAGATTCACACCTTTTTTCTGGCTGCAGTGGTTATTTTTAACCTCAGTCTGCGAGGACAAGTGCACTTCCTCCTCGGGCCGATTGTGTGTGGAGGCCCTGAGGGAACGTGTGTGTGTGTGTGTGTGTTACTATCTTTATTGTTATTATTAAAGCGAGGATAGCGAGCATCAATCAAAGGCCGCACGTTGCTCTCGAGGATCGCCGCGATTCAAAGCCGCTCAGCGTCGCCTGTTGTCGCGTTTCTGCGTGTGATAGAAACGAGGTCACAAACCGGTCGCTATGGTTACGGCCGGGTTCAGCCGATCAATCGTATCGATGGGTCGAGGCCGCCCCCCCCCTCGAGAGCGGACGTGCTATTTTCTTCCGGTTTAGAGAGCGTTTGACCTCGGAAGTTTGCGTTTTTTTCATCGTTTCCGTTTGAGCAGCGAAGCGGAAACTGTAAATAAACAGATTTATGATGCCGACGCACTTTGTGGTGCATCTGTTGCCGAGTAGAGCTGCAGTCAATCAATGCGACAGAAAACCACTGCTTTCTTACGTTCTATATTTGCTGACTTTTTATTATTTACTTCTCTTTACTTTTAATATAGATTAAACCTGAAAAAACAAACTGTCAACTTGGACTATTTTGGAAATCTTTAAAGGCGTTCAAACTTCTGTTGCTCATTCTGAGGTAAAGGAAATACTCCTCTAACTTTATTTCTGGGGTTTTGTGCATTTTGCACAAAATCAGCCCGGTTCGATTGTTGGAAATGCCGCTGTGATGATTTGACAATCGTGCAGCTTTATTCTACGTGCGGCTGTGGGGGAGTGAAGATAGAAGTTGAAATGAAAAGAGGAAACTGTGAAGAATTGATGCAGAGCAGGAGAGGAAAAGCTTTTGGATGTGTGGGAATATTGAGCCACAAAGCATTTATGTCAGATCAAAGCTAATCCTTATCCGGGGGGGGGGATTGGGTAATACCCGGGGCCGTCTCGCCCCCTCAAGGGCCGCTCTGCTCCTCGGCTCCTATTTCGCTCTCCTCACTTCTTCTCCACCAGGATTTTTCTTCCCGCCCCCCCCGCCCCCCTTCTCCCCCCTCGCCTTTGACTCGATGGCGGCTCGCAGAAACCAGGTCAGCAGGTGGCAGGAGGAAAGAGATTGAGGTCACTTCCTGTTTTCACCTGGATGCGTCGTCTTGGTTCGGGCCACTTTCTGAAAGAGGGCGGAGCTAACTGCACCCGAACGCTGGTCACGACGTTTCGGGTGACAGCTGAAAGATACACGCAACACCGTGGTAACAACATGTCAATCAGCAGTAAGCCCCGCCCTAAAGCATCCCCTGCTGGTCACTACAGAGAAGTAGAGTCATTTCCTCATAGACGTCTATGGGAGCAGAGGAGTCGCCCCCTGCTGGTCACTACAGAGAAGTAGAGTCATTTCCTCATAGACGTCTATGGGAGCAGAGGAGTCGCCCCCTGCTGGTCACCACACAGAATGCAGCTTAAAGACCCTTTTGGATAATAAGGGGCATTACCTTAGGAAGAGCTGAAGATACGGTCAAGGGCATCTCGACATATTGAACGATCGATGAAGCGCTTTCAGAAGGATTCTGGGTTCGATAAGAAGATTCTCCGTGTGATTTCATCGTCCCGAGGGCAGTCGAACGTGATCATCCTCCCTCGTCCAAAACGAACCAAAGTAAAGGGCTCCAGACGGGACGAACTGCTCCCGGCGCTCCTGCTGTTATCTGTCGGTGTCTCCACGGGGCGCCGTGACCACTTTAATTGCCTGAGATCTTGTATTTTGATAAAAGGGCCTTGTTGTGCGCCGTTGCAGGGAGATCAGTGCTCATTTTCTATCCCTCTGTGTCTCCATCCGTCGCGCCCGCAGTCGAGGCCCTGCAGGGACACTCGGCTCTAATAATCTTCTTCAGACTCGTACAATTCGGCAATTCATTTATTTTTATCTGTTGCTTGATGAGTGTGATTTTTGAAATATTTAATAAACTATAGTAAATAAACTATCCGGGCGTCCGCTGTGGGTCGGCGTGGTAGACGTGATTATGCAAGAGCGGAGTGGGAGGAGGAAGAAATAGTTGCCCGTGGCCTGGAGGAGGCGGTTAAGAGGGCGACCCGTGCTTAACGCCGATAGAGAGGCGAAGGGTTGCGTCAACTCGACCTCCGTGGGCGGCAGCTGTAAAGGACGTGAGCCGCTCACGGTGACGGGTCTGACATCCGCGGCGCGTCGATTCACCCTCAACCCTCGGCTCCCTGGTATCGCTCCACGCCATCATGCACCGTTTAGCTTCTTTAAATACAGAGCGTGCACACTTTACCTTTCTATACCTTTTGTTTGACGAACATTTCCAGGTACCGGGGGAGGCTGCTACGCTTCTTGTGTGTGATTGACTCGCTTGATATCTGACAAAGAATAAAAAATTCTCATAGCATAGAATAACTGTGGGTGTGGGGAGATCTGTAGGATATCGAAACTTCTCTCATTGTCTCAACTATGCATTGTCTCCTGTTGCAGATGGACGATCACGCTGCCGTCTCCGGAGCTGTGACCTCGGAGCCGTGATCTCGGAGCCGCGACTTCGGAGCTGCGACTTCGGAGATGCGATCTCAGACTTTGCTGTGAAGTCGTGGACGTTGGTGGACGGTGTGTTTCCTCGACGTCGGGCCACTTGCTCGTCTCCCCATCTTTAGAAGAAGAGAAAGGAAAATGGATACTTTGTCCCAGGACTCCATCCTGGAGTGCCAGATCTGCTTCAACTACTACAGCCCCCGCCGGCGCCCCAAGCTGCTGGACTGCCGGCACACGTGCTGCTCGGTGTGCCTGACCCAGATGCGCAGCAGCCAGAAGGAGATCCGCTGTCCCTGGTGCCGCAGCGTCACCAGGCTCCCGCCGGGCCTGTCCGTCTCCCAGCTCCCGGACGACCCGGACGTCGTGACGGTCATCGCCATCCCCCACGCCTCCGAGCACACGCCGGTCTTCATCCGCCTGCCCAGCAACGGCTGCTACATGCTGCCGCTCCCCGCCGCCAAGGAGCCGCGGGCGCCGGGGCTCCCCGGGGAGCTGGGGTGCCGCTTCCTGCCCGGCGGCCACCAGAAGGGCGTGGCCGTGGTGACGGTGCCCGAGCGGCAGCACCTGGGCCTGGCCGTGGACCTGGAGGGGCTGGGCCTGGAGGTGGGCGAGGGCGAGAGGAGGAGGGCGGCCGGCCCGGTGGGCGGGGCGGGCGGCGGGAAGGGCTCCACGTGGTCCGGCGTGTGCACGGTGATCCTGGTGGCCTGCGTGCTGCTCTTCCTCCTGGGCATCGTGCTGCACAACATGTCCTGCATCTCCAAGCGCTTCACGGTCATCTCGTGCGGCTGAGGGCGGGAGGGACGGACGGGGGCGGGAGGGGCTGCAGACACCCCCTTTACCCCCCCCTACGCCCCCACGCCACCCCCCCCCCCCCCCCCCCCCGGGAGGCGCGCCATGTACAGGCGGCCATTATGTCACGTTTTCTTCAAATTAGGATAGAAATAAAGATGCAAACCTTCCACTTCACTCGTTCCCGCCCCTGAAACTCTCGTCCGGTTCCTCCCCTTCCCCCCTTTTTCTCTGAAAGAACGCGTTGGGAATAACTCGCTCACGATCACAGCCGTTGGATTGGCTGTTCGCTCTGCGGTGGGTAGAAGTACATCGTTTTTTTGGTCCTTTGTTGTTGTCGACTTCGGCCGGTGACTGCAGGACGTCAGTGATCCCGTCTGAATCATCGGGGGAACTTTTCACACAACTTGTTTGTGCCGCAGCGGCTCCATGTAGTTCGTGAAAGGATCGTTGTACAGAAATGAGACAAAACATGGATTGTTGTACTGTTGTTCATGCCATCGTGTCACGCGCCTCGACTGAAAACACGGGGAGCCGTTTGCTTTATTAAGGTGAAAAAGTCTGAAATGGTCCTGAAAAGATTTGGCGGTAAAAAGCTTGGAAACATTTTGGGAATTACACTTATTTGCATTCTTTCCGAGCGTTAGCTCTGCTAGCTTAGCATAAATTGGAAGCAGTGGGAACAGTAAGAGTGGCTTTCTTCATCAGCACCTCTAACGCAGACAAAGTGACCTCCACACAAACAAAATGTAACGTTGTGCAAGGTGCTAAATGCATTACAGCCTGTGAACCCCATGAAACCAGAATAAATACGATTGAAGCAAGATGGAGGTGTAAGGCAACATTTATTCTTCTTTTTCACAGTATGTTTTTCCACGGATGTTTAATTTTTTAACTCGTACTGATTTATATTTAACTCACTTTTATATTTTGAGGCGATTTGTCTGCAGCCTCGTCGTGTGCAGAATGATTGTAATTTTCTTTTTCTTTTGCTCTTGTTGCACGTTGGTTACCTGGTTAGTATTAAGATTTGAGTTATTCTGTCCTTAAATCTAATTAAGAAGTTATAAGGAAAGAAAGTGTTCAATTTTGGTATTAAGTATATAGAGAATTATATACTGTACCAAAATGCTATGAATAAATGCGTACTGTGTATCTACTAATTCACCCACGAATCATTTCTCGATGTATTTAATTCATCACTGAGGATCACTATCAAATTAAAAACACGGAGCTCCTTTTATTTATTTTTTCCTGCCATGAAAGAACGGAACTTTCCTCAAATGCCGCAGTGGCACCATTTCACTGCCTTCCACCGAACAAAAGACCCTCCAACCAGAACGCGACGTTTGGCAGCTCCAGGGGTCCTGCGCTGGAATCTCCTGTGATGAAAGCGCCGCCACATCTGCAACGAAGGCTGTTTGATGAGAGTCGAGCGCAGCTGAGCTGGTTCACGTGGGACCAACTGGCTGTTGCTTTGAGACGTTGAGACGAAAGTCTCTTTTTTTTTTTTTTTGAAGTGAGCGCCGCTTAGCTGGGAGTTGAAATATTTTTAGCTCGGAGAAAGAAAGAAAAAGTCGCTGACTCGTCGGCGCTTTGAGGCTGAAGTCGGGGGGGTTTCTGGCGCCACCTGAGAGGGAAACATCAGTTCAATTAAAGAAATGTGCACGAATTGTTGTTCATGAAATCTTGATGAAGTCCACGTCAGTTGTATTAATTATCCGTTCTTTATTGCTGGGTTTATACATTTTAATTGGTGGCCTTATTGTTACTTAATGAATCGGGAATCAGGAACATTTATTACCAAAATATGTCAGACATACAAGGAATTTGACTTGGCGGTTGGTGAGTAACAGCAGACAGTACGACAATGGACAACAAGACCGATATTTAATCTACTTGTCCTTGGCTGTGGCTGCAGCGTACCGGACGGTGATGGAGGAGCAGAGGATGGACTCCATGATGGCCGTGTAGAAGAGCACCATCATCGTCTTTGGCAGGTTGAGTTTCTTCAGCTGCCTCAGGAAGAACAACCTCTGCTGAGGCTTCTCGGTGATGGAGCTGATGTTCAGCTCCCACTTGAGGTCCTGGGTGATGGTGGAGCCCAGGAAACGGAAGGAGTCCGCAGCGTTGACGGGGTTTTAGTCACAGAACGTTTGTAGAACGAGTTGTTCAAACCCTTTTCATTTTGCGGGGATCTAATAGAATCTCCTTCCTCTCGTCTGTTATTAATCTCCTTTTTAATTTTTGGCTCCTCTTTAATTCTGACGTCACGTTGACGACTGTAGCAGCTCGGTGGAGAAAAGGAGGCTCGTCATTTCCTCCCGTTGTGTTTGTATAAAATAAGAAGAAAATTCCATAACGCCGCAAACAATCGCTGTATTTGGTGAACTATTAAACAACGTCGCTCTAAATCTGAACAACGAGAACTCCAGCATTTTTATTTTGCCTCTTATGGATTGTTTAAGTGTTGATCTGCGACTGGACGTCGGTGTCCAGTCGCAGATCAGCACTTGGGAAGAAGTAGCTTATTCCTCCAGCTTGATTTATCAGCGTCCATTAATCCACGGCCGAGTGAACTCCGTCCAAAGCAGGCTCTCTTTGTTTGCCCCCAGGAACCTCTTCGCCCCTCAGATACCTGTTGATTTAGTGCCGGTCGGGGTAATTAACGCTCTCCGGGGAACAATTGCAGCTGACTTTGCGGCGGCGAAACACAGCTCTTTGGCATCACATCAACCAGCCGCCTCCATCCTCAACCAAGCCTCACGCGTTTTAATGACCACAGAGAAGCGTGGACTTGAATAATGATGTCAAGATTTAGTGCATTTTTCTGCTAATTACTTGATTTCTTGCTCTGATGCACAGTTGCTTGATTTGAATAAAGGTTGTGTGTTTTAATCATGGACCCACATGAATATTCAATGACACGTTGTGACTAAAGCTCAGATTGAAATGTCCTTTTCAACCACTTGAGACTGAGACCATAAACTCATGTTTGCAATCATTTCCTCATAGACGTCTATGGGAGCAGAGGAGTTGCCCTCTGCTGGTCACTACAGAGAAGTAGAGTCATTTCCTCATAGACGTCTATGGGAGCAGAGGAGTCGCCCCCTGCTGGTCACTACAGAGAAGTAGTCATTTCCTCATAGACGTCTATGGGAGCAGAGGAGTCGCCCCCTGCTGGTCACTACAGAGAAGTAGAGTAATTTCCTCATAGACGTCTATGGGAGCAGAGGAGTCGCCCCCTGCTGGTCACTACAGAGAAGTAGAGTCATTTCCTCATAGACGTCTATGGGAGCAGAGGAGTCGCCCCCTGCTGGTCACTACAGAGAAGTAGAGTCATTTCCTCATAGACGTCTATGGGAGCAGAGGAGTCGCCCCCTGCTGGTCACTACAGAGAAGTAGAGTCATTTCCTCATAGACGTCTATGGGAGCAGAGGAGTCGCCCCCTGCTGGTCACTGCACAGAATGCAGCTTTAACACACTGTTTACTTCGGCTGTTTCCTTCACTCGCTGGTGTTTTGTTAGTTGCTGTTAGTTTTCTGGATGGGAATAATTAGACAGAATATAACTCACCTGGGAGACCAGCGATTCTCCACCTAAACTCTTCCCACGCAGCCAAAACAAAAACACACCTTCAAAGACTGATTCTCATTCTCATTCCCCCCCGCAGCCTCTTTGTGCGGCTGTTTGCAGCTTTAATTGGAGTTTCTGCAGCTCCGGCGTACTTTTCAACAGCTCCTTTCTATAGAGCGACTTCACCCTCCAAACGTGGTGATTTTCCTCTCCTATCCGACGAGTCGCAGGACTCAAACCGACTGATCATCCGCATTTTTTATTCAAGTCGTGGGAGCCGTAAATCCCCAGGGTATCAAACGGCGGGTTTGTCAGAGGAGCTGCTTCCTGGTGTCGGCGTAATGTGTCAGCCGTTCGGTGAGGCCTTCGTCTGTTTAAGTCTGGCAGCAGATGAGACTCCTCTTCCTCGCGCTGGAATAAAAAAGAAGCGACGACTATTTGTAGGAGCCAGTGGTGGGTGACGGCGTGCAGCGGAGTGAATAAAAGCAATATGGGTTTTTTTTTTCTCCCTTTTGTTCAGAGAAGAGTCCTACGGTACGTCGGGCAGCCAGAAGAAGCTCAGATGTATGAAAGGATTAGAGGACATAGTTTACGATGGAGATGGAGGATTCTGGCCTGTGACCTCATTTCAACGTGCAGGAGGATGAAGAGAGACAGATTCTGGCAAATGTTTAAGTCACTAAAGTTCAATGATGGAAAGTATCACAAGTGAAATCTTTTTTTTTATCGACTCTATTGATCTGACAACAATATGTATTTTCTGATGGGACAAAAAAACGTAAAAAGCGCGCCGTCTTCTTATGGTTCGTATTAAGACTCAGGAATACATCACTCACCCTCGTGCTTCTTCACGAGAAAACTATCCTCGTGTGAGCGTCAGAGACCTCCAGAGGATCTAACAAATTGGAACATGACGGCCGAAGGCGAAATGAACCTCGCCTGGCCGGAGAAGAGAAGGAGAAATCCCTTCTGTGTGAGTGTCCGTCTGAGGCCGGTAATGAGGTTAATTGTTGTGTTGTGGGGGGGGGCTTCCATACGTGCGCGGTGACTGATGGCCGCTGGCTTTCTTCAGGATACAAAGTGCCTCATTAGCATTTCGACAGCGTCCGACGGGAAGGGCGAGATTACTAATCCATCCCACGCTCGTGAAATTCACCAGCTGGTCTTTTCTTCGTGCAGGCCGGAGCCTTTCAGGGCTTCATTTGACAACGCTTTATATTTCTTGACGTACCTCTGAGTTTGTTGACGTTGTGCTTTTAAAACCACGGGGGGGCAAAAGGTACAGACCGTCCGGCCTTTTGTTCGCTTTATTGCAGCCCGAACCAGGACTCCCCCCCTCTCCCTCTTCCCTTCCCTTCATTTTTTGTCCCCTCTCCTCATCGGCCCAATGAAGGTCCCACATCCGATCTGTTCCTCCTCTCCTCTGAATCCAGCGTGAGCTCGCGTGACAGCGCCGAACCTTCCCCCCCCCTTCCCCCCCTCGAGGGCGTTTCAACATTTTTTCCACCGGAAAAACACTTGTTGGATCTCTAATTAGATTTGTGCCGCGGATCATTTCCGGCGCCAGCGGGCCTGCAGCCGGCCCGAGGGGCGACCCCCCCCCGCGGGGAGGCGACCTTTCGCCGCAGGTGGTAGAAATGAGCCTTTGCATGTTCCTAGGCGAGGAACGTGCCCGTGGATTCGGTTCCGCTGGCGTCCGCCCACGCGCTCTTTTGATTGTTCAAAGGGGCGTATAACCGAGCCTTAGTTCCTCCCCGTGTCTCTCGCCGCAGCTTTCGACACTCCGGCCCGTCGGGGGGGTATTAATTTATTCACTGCAGCCATTGATTCAGATGGTGATGCATGTGCCCGGTGCAAATGATCGCACTCCGCTGGCGTATTGACTGGAGAAAACCTTCTTATTGTGCCATCATCACTCGGGCCGCCAGCCAATTTCTGCAAGCGGTGCATTTTTTTTAATGCTCACAGTCATAAAGGCAGACAAGCAAATTATGCACACGCACACACACACACACACACACACACGCGCACACACACACGCACACAGATTACCTGTGCTTGTTCAGCGTGGGCTGCTTTCCTTCTCTTTCTATCGTGCAATACATCGGTCGTGGGGAAAGCGTGTGTGAAGCGAGATAAGATCCAGCATTCTGATTGGTTGACGGCGAGTCGCCGGGTGTTCTTTATCATAAAGTACTGAACCCGTTTGGATTTTGCGGCCCGTTTGTTGTATACGGCATACAATGTGTTTACGTATGAGGCGTTGTTTTAATATAATCCCCTAAATAAATGAGCATGGATGTTGTTTTTGCTTCAGGGATTTTGTATATATGTTATTTAAAAAATTCTGTGAAACTAGCATGAGCTTTTCCAGATTTGATCCAAAACAAGGGCGATCTGGTATTTAGTTTTCCCACGTTACCACCACGTAGTACACAGGTTCACATCTCTGAATGGAGGAATAACACATCTGTAAATGAGCCTTGAGAGAATAAAGTGAGAGGAAAAGATTTTAATTAATGTGGATGATTCAGTCAGGATGATTTTTGTGAGTTTTTCTGGCATCGATCTGTTGATGCCTGCAGGCCTTAATGAACGCACCGGGGGGGATTAAAGAAGGTCGAACTCCACTCAAAACAAACGTGCCTCATCGTGGGAAAGTCGCTTCCTCACGCTGTGACTACGCCGCCGAGAGACGCCTCTCACGTCTTTCAGCTCCGCGTGACCTTCAGACCTTCAGCAAAGCGCCTGACTGTCGGGAGAACAGCGGGACACGTTGTGTGACTTTTTCTTACCTAATCTTTCTTTCCATATTTGTCGACTGAACACATTTTGATGACCAGATTATTTAGTAATCTGTCCCTTGCGGCAGATCTAGGGTCAGTTTTCTGCGGCCTTTGACAGAGCTGCTCTTCATCACACCAACCGGAGATGAAATTTGACCGGAGGAGTTTGTGCAGATGAAGGTTTGATGTTTTAACGTTGGGTTCAGATGGGTTTGGTTTTTAACCTCGTCGACGGCTCGTTGCACATCAGCGACAAACATTTCTGTCATTTCACGTCTTCAGACCAGCGGCGTTTTATCTGTGACGCACGACGAGCTCGTCCTCGGCCTCTCGCCCTCGTCGCTCCTCGTGCACCACGAAGAGGAACCTTTCCCAAAAGCTGACATGATGTGACGCCCATCGGGTCTCCGCAGCTCGGATCCCCGGGCGACCATAAGCCGATGTTCTGCTGCAGCTTAAGGAGATGGGAAGTGAAGTAAGCGAAGGATGAGAGGAGGATCAGAGGGAGGAAGCCCGGCGGTGGTTCGGGTCTCTGTGCGTATGTTTCGCTCTCTGACTTCAATGGAGTCTCCAATTCCTGGAGTTCTGCCTTCTGTCCTCCCGCCCCTCAATCTCCGGCAGAGCAGAGTGTGTTTTCCCTCCACTTGGCGTCCGGGGATGATTCACTGGGTCCGCTCCGCTTCCGCCTCGGCAGGATTAGAGCTGGAAGGCTTCTTATTATCCGCCGCCGTTTGGGCTCCGTTCGTCTGTTTGAAGAGAGCAGCGGAGCTTAAGACAAATTGCCCCCCCCCTCGGGGGCCTTTTTCCCCGTCCCCGGGAGAGCTGCCAAGCGTGGCGGCGAGGGGCCAGCGCGGGGGGGGGGGGGTGGAAGGGGCAGCTGGAGGAGCCGAGGATTCAGTTCGCGGGGCAAAGTGTGCAAAGAGGCAGAGGAAGAGGCTGCAGGGACGAGGTCACAGCGAGCGTTTTATTAAGCAAAAGCCGCGGAAATATAAGATCATTCAATTAAAGACTGAAGTAAGCAGGTGGAGGTGAGACAAGAGTACACCGGAAATAATCACAACTTTCAGCACAAACTGTGAGGAGAAAATAGCAGAAAACTGTTTGTTTGAGGGATTTTTCTTCCATAACATCCCAGTGCGATTTTACTGCTTTGTCTGTTTGTGTTTGAACGTAACAGGCGCTGTTTCTCCAGACTTCTGTCCGTCGAACGCGAGGATTCGTAAATGTGAAAATAAAGAGGGACAGATGAGAGCTGAACCCCAGAAGCAGAATGGAACGCTTGTTATATTACCGACTCATTTCCCCGCTGAATGCCACCCAGCTGGAGGACCAGAGCCTCCTTGCTTGTGTGAAGCTTGAGGTAGAACCTCCTGCAGGATAGATGATCCCTGGCATTCGTCCTCTCTTCTGTCCTTTCCTGTGTCCTACCCCGCGTCCTTCACCGGCATCACTTTGATTGACAAAAAGCAATTAAGTAGCTTCACATCTTTTGAATTCCCATTCGGCAAATCCATGAATGTTACAGTGGAAGCAATTAAATGAGGAGATTTTTTTTTCCTGCTCCGGAGGCTCAGGTATGTGTGTATTCTGTGCGGGGGGGGGGGGCTTTTAATCAATGCTAAGCAGTATCACTGCAAAACAAAATAAGTCACGCTAATTTGAGGGGGGAAAACTGTAATGAAAAGTGATTCAACTGCAGTAACACTTAGAGGGCGACTTCGCCGCGCGATTGCATTTTTAAAAAGCTGCTTCATCTTTTGGAGGACCTGGGGGGCGAGATGCTCCGCGCCGCCCAAAGACGCAGTTCATTACCACCACGCACTCTGCAAATTGCCACCCAGATGTTCGCAGAGCATCGGTGTCCTCCATGTAATTCAATCACGGGAGAAAGGCGACGTTATTTTTCCCATTTTATTACCAAGAATACAAAAACATATCTACATTCACACGCCACTGTGCAGCAGGACTCACCACATAGATTTCAAGTAAACGTCACCCAAATTATCAAAATCTACCTTCGCGTACGTCCCAGTGTGTAAAAGCCCGTTTGTGTCTCTTCTCTTCATCCAAAAAGGTCTTTTCTTATTGTTGTTGTTTTTCAAACATTTGGCACTTGATGCAGATTATCAGCGTCTCTGAAGAATCACGGGACCGGAGGCTGGACGGATCGGGGCGGCGCGGCGCTGGATCCGAGGTGAAAAGGCGGCTCGGTCCTGCCGCGCGTCCAGATGTGCCTCGAGTGCCCAAAAGGCCCCCCCGGCCCCCCCCCCCCCCCGTGATTGAAACGCTTCTTGTTTTTTTTGTGGAGAAAAACAGTTACGATACAAAAACAATAACAATACGACAAACAGAGAACTCTTCCATCATGTATGTTACAACACAGACGTGCTCCTTCAAAGATCTCCTCACGCAGCTGAAGCACAGAGTTGGTTGGAAGCCGCCAAATAAGTTATAAGCAAAAAATATATATAAATACAGCACATGAGGAATAAATGAGGACCTGCCGCGGATGAAACTGACCACGAGCCTCAGATCTCCACGCTCACAGCTGGAGGTCCCTCTGAAGCAAAGAGGCCCCGCCCACCAGGGGGGGCTGACATGTGCTTTGAGGCCACACCTCCGGTCTTTGGGGGAGGGGCTGACACTACTGCTGGAGGCCTCTCAGGCCTCGAAGGCTTCGGCAGGAAGTCCCACCCCCTGTCGTGGCAGCACTCGTGTTTTTCATTTTTTCCTCTTTTGTTTGGAGCGATTCATCAGACTCATCAGATTCAAGAAACAAACGCGCGATCGGGCGGCGGCGCTCTACCACGCGGGGGCGCCGTTGGTCTCCAGCGCGCCGTACATCTCCGCCAGTTTTTTGAAGCGAGGCCCCCAGTCGCTGAGGTAGTCGTACTCGTGGTCCGTGTTGGACGCCCCCGACTGCAGCGAGCTGAGCGACTCGGCCACCGAGCCCTCCCCCTCGTAGGCGTAGGTCTGCAGGGAGTCGTAGGGGGGTGCGCACGCGTCGGAGTCGGCGTCCAGGAGCTTCGCCAGCACGTAGCCGCGCACGTTGCTGCCCTCGCCGAGGCCGCCGCCCGCCACGCACGCCTGCGGGACGTAGCGCGACAGGCTCTCGATCTCCGGCAGCATGTCCTGCCTGGTCTTGCCCGGGTGGGGGGGCGGCTGGGGGTGGTGGGCCTCGCGCGGGTTCCACATGGCGCCGATGTCGAAGGCCTCGGTGTCCTCCTCGCCGCCGCCCTCGTCGTCGTAGCGCACGATGTTCTCGTGCACGTTCTCCTCTTCGTCGCACAGGTAGGGCTTCTTGCGGTGGGTCCGCAGGGAGAGCATGAGCAGGATCATCACTGGGGGGGGCGGGGGATCAGATCAACACACAAAACACACATTTATGCACATTCGCATGTATCTAAAAGTGACACTTTGTAGCATCTTCACCTGAATCAACTTCTAGCAGGTTCCCTGAATGAAAGAAGCCGAATGTTTAATGTAAATCATTTAGTGTCCTGGTTGAAACGCGTTGATAGAAGTTCTCTAAAAGGCACACGGACCAGATTTCTTTGCTTTTCTAATCAACTGGAAGAAAAGGTTCCCGGTCAGCGCGACTCACCGAGCAGCACGAAGATGCAGGCCAGGATGGCGATGAGCGCCCCCCGGCTGAGGCTGGCGGGCAGGCTGTGCGCCTCGGCGTCGCACGACATGACGTTGCCCTCGCGGTCGCAGCTGCACACGCGCACGGTCAGCGTGCTGGTGCTCGTCTGCACCGGCTGCTCGCCGTCGGAGATGACGACGGGCAGGTAGAAGACGGTCTGATCCTGCTGGGACCAGCCCCCCCGCCGCGTCAGGATCCACGCCGTGTTGTCTGTGGGGGGGGGCGAGGCGAGTTTGTCGGTTATTCACAGGCGCTGAGTCAAGACTGGGCACCGGGTCAACCAGGTCCCAGGTTCAAGATTAACACGACTGGGTTTATTTTACACGTCGAGGCTCCGAGTCCAGCCCAAAAGGTCAAAAGGTCAGATCCAAGTCAACAATACCAGTTCTTTTTTTTGTTTTTTTGTTTTCCTTTTCTGATACAGGCCGCTCTTAAGCCGCCAAACCCGTGACTCGAGCCCGCCGGTCTACCTTGGTTGTCCCTCAGGGTGAAGTTGGGGTTGTTGGCGGCCTCTGGAGCCAGGCGGTAGCTGAAGTGTTGTCCACCCAGCGGCTGGTCCGGATCCACGGCCGTCACGGTCTGGATCAGCTGGGGGAGAGGCACTCATTGAGGTTACCAGTAGCATCACGTGTAAATATTAACGTCGTGGCGTCCGTGTGGCGCCTGTCGCACCTGTCCCGCTTTGGCGCTCTCGCACACGTAGGCCTCCAGGTAGTGCGTCAGGGAGGGAGGGTTGTCGTTCACGTCGAGGACCCTCACGGCCACCGACGCGCTGGAGATCTGCGTGGGGTTGTCTGAGGACACACGCACGCACAAACAGGACACACACACGCACACACAGGACACACACATTGGTCAGATCTCGGTTCGGGGCTCTTTTGACCTTCACCCTCCTACGAATATTCTATTATTCTCCATTTCCAAGAGGCGATGCAGTCCTGAGGCTCCATCACGGTCGATCGGCGGCGTGACGAGTGTGCGTTTTGTATTGTGTGTGTGTGCGTGTGCGTGAGGGTCGGAGTGAAGCAGGATCAGCGATGTAAAATCTGTTTGAGTCAAAAGTACCGTAAGAAGCAGCTTAATTAAAACGTGAATATCGACCCGAGTCGCTTTTGTTGCAAACGAGCTCCCAGCAGGAAAGTGAGCCGGATGAAAGATTTAAATGTTTTAAATGGTTTCATTCAATCTTAATTCAATTATGCATTAATACTACTTAACCATATTATGAGTTTGCGTCATGATGAAAGGCCTTTTTCCTCATTAAAATACACGTATTACTTAATACAGCGATTTTCTTTGTAGAATTACTACTTGAATCTCAATATAATTTCCTATCGCAATTTAGCTTTACATAATATATATTTCATGATTACCAGATATTTTTTTCACAACTCTTTGTGTCATTATGAGATTAAGGGTTTGAAGTCTTTCTTTGTTGTAATGGAACAGAGACAATAGCTTCTGTCTTCTCCGTCTCCCGAAGTCATTTAATCACTCATTAATTCAATTAGCGCTCGTCTGCCAAACAAAAGGGACAAAGAGACAAACAAAGCGGCGGCGGCGGCGGCGGGGGGGGGGCTGAAGGTGACCTTTGGTACCACCAGCTGGGTGCAGGTTACGTAAACCCGCGCTGGTGGACACGTGTGTGTGTGTGTGTGTGTGTGTGTGTGACTCACTCATCTCCATGGCGAGGATGGTGATGTTGTGCCAGCCGACTTCCTCTCGGTCCAGCGAGCGCACCGTCATCAGCGAGCCGGAAGTGATCTCCAGGTAGAAGAACTTGTCTGGGTCGCTGGACTTCTCGATGGAGTACCTGCCAACGTCACAAACGTCACAGCGTGAAGCATTTGTGCACATTTGTGTTTGTTTTGTATCCTTATTTGAAAGGGGGATTACGCACACACACACACACACACACACACACAGACACACACACACACACACAAGCCTAAATCAAGGGGGGCCAAAAACCAAAGGTTTCTCCTCTCGCCCTCAACCCCCAACCGTCCACCAGGTGTCCTCGGACCTTTGGTCACGTGACGTCCCACCTGACGTCTGCAGCACCTGTTCCCACTTGCCCTCATCAGCCCTGCGGCTTCCTTCCCTTTGCTCTCCTCGTCTCCCCAGAGCTGCCATGTGCCTCGTGCTGTCTGTGGGCGCATGCTAGGTGTAGCTAACATGCTAAACGCTAACAGGCTAATCGCTAACATGCTGAAGGTCGGCTGGATCTTCAGTTGCGTGTGTGACGTCTTCATACGTGTTTTTACATTAACCCCCAACGTGGCGGCAGTGGGACTGAGTGGACTGGTTATACTGGGACCAGAGGGGATAAGTGGACTGGTTTACACTGGGACCAGAGAAGCACAGTGGACTGGTTATACTGGGACCAGAGAAGCTGAGTGGACTGGTTATACTGGGACCAGAGAAGCACAGTGGACTGATTACACTGGGACCAGAGAAGCAGAGTGGACTGGTTACACTGGGGCAAGAGAGGCTGAGTGGACTGGTTATACTGGGACCAGAGAAGCAGAGAGGACTGGTTATACTGGGACCAGAGAAGCAGAGTGGACTGGTTACACTGGGGCAAGAGAGGCTGAGTGGACTGGTTATACTGGGACCAGAGAGGCTGAGTGGACTGGTTACACTGGGACCAGAGAGGCTGAGAGGACTGGTTACACTGGGACCAGAGAGGCTGAGTGGACTGGTTACACTGGGGCAAGAGAGGCTGAGTGGACTGGTTACACTGGGACCAGAGAAGCAGAGAAGACTGGTTACACTGGGACCAGAGAAGCAGAGAAGACTGGTTATACTGGGACCAGAGAAGCAGAGTGGACTGGTTATACTGGGACCAGAGAGGCGGAGAGGACTGGTTACACTGGGGCAAGAGAGGCTGAGTGGACTGGTTATACTGGGACCAGAGAAGCAGAGTGGACTGGTTATACTGGGACCAGAGAAGCAGAGAAGACTGGTTATACTGGGACCAGAGAAGCAGAGTGGACTGTTTATACTGGGACCAGAGAGGCGGAGAGGACTGGTTACACTGGGGCAAGAGAGGCTGAGTGGACTGGTTACACTGGGACCAGAGAGGCTGAGTGGACTGGTTACACTGGGGCAAGAGAGGCTGAGTGGACTGGTTATACTGGGACCAGAGAAGCAGAGTGGACTGGTTACACTGGGACCAGAGAGGCTGAGTGGACTGGTTATACTGGGACCAGATGAACTGAACCTGGAACAGATTGAGGACGTCTTCGGGTGTTCAGGTCTTATAATGAAGATCTTAAAAGTGAGTACAGCTGTGTGTGTGTGTGTGTGTGTGTGTGTGTGTGTCCAGTTATTAATTTAGTGTCGTCTGTATAGACTTAAAGTCTTGTATCAAAACGAATTTTGCATAATCAATTTGACTTTAACTTTTATGCAACAATTATGCAAAAGTGAAACTGTTACTTGAAGTGCTTAATCATGTGTTTACATTGTTGTTGTTTGTTGTTTTTGTTATTGAGCGAAATCCCTCCTCCCCGATCTCCTGCCAGCTGTTGGGATCCAGCTGTCAGCGGCTCTTCAGGAATCGGAGGGATTTCGGGGATTTGAGTTGTTATCAGAGCGGCGGGGCTGAGCAACACTTCTTAACGTGTAACTTCTGATGACCGTGTTCATGCTTTAAAAGGAAGACGTGGTTCTAGCGGCGCTGCTCGGCACAACCCAGCAAAGCAGCTCGGCCCTCGTTTATGAAAGGGTTCTAAATCCACCACTGAAAAATCCTCCTCTAAGACGGACGCACGCACACACACACACACACACACACACACACACACACACACACACACACACACAGGAGCAGCCGCCGTGTCGTCCACATCCCGTCCTCCGCCTCCAGCCCGACACACGCCGCTCGTTTGATGCTGCAGTGGTCGATTCTCAAGATTAATGGCTTTAGGTGTAATTAGTTTATAAGAGGGGCAGTCCGGGCAGTAAGATGCCCCCCCCCTCCCCCCTCCCCCCCACACACACACACACACACACACACACTCACCCCACGCGGCATCTGTTATGGCACAAAACATACACTATGATAATCGTGTGAAGTGAAAGCCTCTTGGGTCTCTTGAATCTGTTATCAACGTCATGTTTATCAGCTGTCCAGGAAATGCCACACACACACACACACACACACACACACACACACACACTGTCGCTCTGTCTGCAGTGAGGAGTCATGTTGTGATGCTGCCCCCTGCTGGTGATCAGGCTGCATTGCAGCCTCAAACTACTCTGAATGAATAAATCAAGTTCTGATGACAATCGATGGGTTCGTAGCCTCTCCCAGCATGCATTGGGATAATCCTAATGATGTACCGACCGGGGGGGGGGTCTTTGTCTTCCTCACCTGACGGTGTTGTTGGCGGCGTCTGGGTCCCTCGCCGTCACCGTCCTCACCACGGTGCCGATCTCGGCGTCCTCGGCCAGCTCCACGTAGTACGCCGGCGCGTCGAAGAGCGGGGGCTCGTCCACGTCCTCCACGCTCACGTGCACGATGGTCATGTCCTTGAAGGGCACGCGGTGCCGGAAGGCCGGGTCCAGGTGGGTGTTGGCGCCCTCCACCTTCAGAGTGTAACTGGGCTTGCTCTCAAAGTTGAGCGGCTGTGGGGGGGGTCGGGGGTCGGGGGGTCGGGGGGGTACAGGCGTCATTTGGATGAAACTCCTGCTTTTAACATTTTAGAAAACCCCCATAATGTCGAGCTGCAGATCAGCAGAGAGGAGGTAGCTGCCACAACGGCAGTAGATCAAGCGTGTTCTGCTTAAAAGAAACACTATTTATATTTTATTGCCTTATCAAAGAAGAGACACCAGAATGATCAAAGAACCTTTTTGCCTTTTGAAAACCGAGGCTGTTTCTTCTTCTCCTGAGAAATATTACTTAAACATTCAATAACGAGCCGAATGAATTAATACTTGAATTAAACGATCCCTCACGTGAGATTTCTGACGCGGCAAGAAATTCATTCTTATCTTCATCGCTCGGCCTCCGTACCCTTTTCACTGTGATGATTCCGAAGAGGTTGGTCGGGTCGGTGCTGATGTCGAACGTGTCCCTGCCGTCCCCGTCGATGATGCTGTACTCCATCTCGGCGTTGACCCCGACGTCCCGGTCCTTGGCCCAGATGCGTCCCACCACCGAGCCCACGGGGGCCGCCTCCGGGATGCTCATCTGGTACAGCCCTGAGGGACGCAAACGCACGGCGTGAGGCTCCCTCGTCCGTCCTGCAGGGGGAGCAGCGGCCCACCGAGGGGGAAGCGCCCGCCGAGTTGTGCTCGGCGGGGAAGAATAAACCTGGAGTTTCGTGGAAGTGATGGCACTAATTGGTGAGGGGGGGGGCTGGTGTTTTCTTTGTCTCGGAGCAAAGCCACCCGTCGGGCCAGGAAGAGATGGCGGCGCACAACCAGACCGCCCTCCTGACCTCGCGAGGACGGTAATGAGAGCAGCGGGGAATGGGGATAATCAAAGAGACAGCGTGGGGGAGGCGGGGGGGAGACGGGGAGAAGGCCAGGGGGGTTAATGGGACTGCTGGTGGACGGAGAGCGAGGCGGTGCAGAGGGGCTGGGCGCTGGATTGAGGTCCGTGGGGCGATAATGGGCTGGTGTAATAGAATATACACGGTTCACGGCAGTGCGAATGTCTCTATTGATGAAAAATGGAGCGGTTACTTTACAACGAGGCTTTATCTGCAAAACAATAAACCAAACGTCAAAAAAAGTGTGCGAGGATCAAACGGGTATTTTTCACCGACACTGAAGGGAGCGTTTCAGACTAAACTGATATTTCATCACACCTTTTAAAGGTTTCCATCCACATCCATTCAAAAAGAAGCCTCCGCGGGTCTGAAGAAAGGGTCGTTAGCGCTGTTAGCGCTGTTAGCCACATGCTCAGCTGATTTTCACATTTTTTTTGGGGGGGGGGGGGGGGTGTCTTACTCTGGTCAAACGTGGGCGGGTTGTCGTTGACGTCGCCCAGCCTGATGTTGACGCTGGTGGTGCCGGCGAGCCCCCCCAGCTGACCGCCCATGTCCTTGGCCTGGATGACCACGGTGTAGTTCTCTCTGGTCTCCCTGTCCATGTCTGCCAGGGACACGCGGACCACGCCTGAGGAGAGAGGGAGGGGGGGGGGGGCAAGAACACACGAGGTGAAGTAAAGGTCAGCGGCGGGGAGCTGGTGACACAGATTAGGGTCATGTGTCCGAGCGATGGCGCCCCGGACCGGACGAGAGGCCGCGAAAATGAGTGAAAATGAGTGAATCTGAACCTTTAGAACGTGCAGTGAGCTGAAGAACGGATGCTTCTGGGCGCGTTGGGAGTTTGCCGTTGACCTGCATTTTGTAATTCCACCCAAAAGCACCGATACGCGGACGGATCGGCGAGGAGAGAAGCTCCTGTGTGGGTAGGAGCATCTTTACACCCAGAGCATCTTTACACCTAATGTGCTTCTGGACGGCCTCCACGCTTGTGGGGACCTCTGGTGACACGATCATGTGGTATGTGTGAATAACTCGGTTTGTAGAACTGAAACGTGCTAAATGACTAATTGCTCATTTCGGGGGGGGGGGGGATTAGACCTTGAGTCACTTCACCACGAGGGCCTTCCCGCCTCGTGCTGTTGAGCTAACGTCTCCTAGCAACAGCGGCCACGGGTTCGAGTGGTCCTACCGGTCTTGGCGTCCACGGAGAAGTACGGCTGCCCCTCCAGGATGCTGTAGACCACGCGGGCGCTGCTGCCGTACGTGGGGTCGTCGGCGTCTGTGGCGGTCAGCTGGATAACGGACGTTCCTGGGGGAGGGAGGGAGGGAGGGGGGGGAGGGTGAAAGTGAAAATCAAAGCTAAAAAACTGAAGTTGAAATGAGTGAATGAAGCAGCTGAGGAGAGTCACCTATGTGGGACATCTCGGGCACGGACGCGTGGTAGGGCCCGTCCGGGAACTTGGGCTCGTTGTCGTTGATGTCCTGGATCTTCACCACGAACTGCGACTCGGGCTCCAGCGGCTGGTCCGTCAGGCGGTTGCGGGCCTGCGCCCGCAGGAGGTACTGGGCCTTCACCTCGCGGTCCAGCCTCTGGATGGCGTGGATGTCCCCCGTGCCGTCGTCGATGGTGAAGGTGGTGCCGGCGCCCTCGCCCGACAGGATGTACTTGATGGAGCCGTCGCCTCTGTCCATGTCGGAGTGGAGCTGTTGGGAGCAACGTGTTTGTGGATGCTGGTTCTCAAGGACAACCTCCACTTTCTGCTATTTTAGAGAGTAAAGTAATAAATAATGCCGAGTGATCCGGTTGAAACCGCGGGAATATAACGCTTATGGTGCAGTCCACAAGTATCAGAACAGCGGTGGGATTTTGAGGACATTTAATTGGGTCACATCCCCTAATTTTAGAACAAAGCAGCCGCCCAGTGATCCAAAGACAATAGAGACGAGAACCAGCGGAAAGTTCCTGTGCGTCCAAGTCGATTCCCACTGAAAGTGTGTTAGTGACGCAAAGCAATCCCAGCCGAGAAATTGGCTTCTATGTTTGATATTATTGTAATTTGAATGTCTTTTTGGGCTCCAAAGGACCAGATGGCGACAGCCGAACCGCGCTCCAGTAACCACTGGGTGACGTGCACGGTGACCTCATCGGCCTCCTGAACCTCCAGCTTTTTGGTCTCCTTTTGAAGCGAAACACATTTTAAAGCCGAGCCACGAGAGGCGGCGCCGCAATCGCGTTGCTTCACTCGGCCGCAGTCGAGAACACGAGTGCGGAGAACGTTCCACTCGAGACCTTTCTGTTCGTTCAACAAGCCACAAAGTCCCTTTCGGCTGTTTGTGTGCTCGATTACGCAAAAGTACAAAAACAAACGACGCGCTCCCGTTCGTGCTAATTAAACCCTGTGCGTACGTTAACCCTCGACCTGCGTGTGCTTGTGTGTGTGTGTGTGTGTGTGTGTGTGTGTGTGTGTGTAGCTGTGAGGAACCATCTCACCATCTCACCCCGCGGTGCAATCAGAGGCCTTTGTGGCCTGTTGATGTGCAATCACTCCTCGCTCTGCACTTAAAGGGCCTCGCATTCGATGAGTACTTACCGCCATCACGCTGGCAGAGCGCTATTAAACGCCCCCCCCCCCGAAGTGAAATGATGGAGGTTGTGGAGCGGCGAAAAGTTTGCAGCCACAGCAACGTGTTTACAATACCCCCCCCCCCCCCCAGCAGCGCTTATCTATTTTAGGACAAGGCGCCCGCCTGCACGCTCGCTCTCCTGAGCGGGGAACACAATCAACAAGCGGCGTCCTCGAGTCTCGCCGTGATTCATCTTCCTTCTCCGCCGCTGATCCTTTACACCCAAATCCATGAAAAGAGTTTTACACTCTGGCTATCAATTACCTGCCCCCCCCCCCCCCACCGGACTACTAAGCCCCTCGACAGGAGTGTCAAGGTAGGCTGAGCTGAGTTGAATAAAACCTCCGGAGCGTGTCCCCCCGCCCCCCCCCCCCCCCCCCCCCCCCCCGCTTTGTGGTATCTCACAATGTGAGTGGCTCACTGGGAATCCTGCCCAGCTCGTCGAAATCCCCCATTTCAGTCAGATTGAGGATCGAGTGGGCAGATTTAAAAAAAAGAAGGAGGAAGGAGGAGGAGGAAGATGGAACTCTCTCAGGACTTGTTACTCTTCCAACTGGTCCGAGCACATGACCTCTAGGGGTCTGCGCCCCCCCCCGGCAACCTTCTCAAAGGAAAAAATTAGGATCTAAAAGTTTGCAGGAAATTGCAAATCGTCTTTTCAGACTCTGCATACCAACGCTTACGGGTTTAGTCTCATTTCACATGTGTTTTGCAGTGTCAGTGTAGCGCTTAAGCCCCCCGCCCACACGTGATGATGACCTCCAGAGCATCCCCTGAAGGTCCGTCAGTGTGGCCCGGTGAGATCTCTCTTTAGGAACATTGCGAGGAAAAGGTCACGCGGAAAAGAGGCCCCTCCTCCCCCCGCATTGGTTAAATCCCCCCCCCGCGGGGCGCTCGTGCTTCCGCTGCAGCGCGAAGGCATCACTGACCTTTCCGATGTAAAGCGGCTCCAGGCCGGTGTACTCCTCCAGGACGAAGAACTGGTTCCACACCCAGCCTCGCTTCACCCGGTGCAGCGCGTCCCCCTCCTCCGCCGGCTTACCCACAAGGCCGCGGGGCAGCAGGGTCAAGATGCACAGGGCCGCGAGGAGCGAGGCGCTGCCGGCTGCCGGGGGGCGCGATCGGCCTCCCATTGTTGAGTCTAGCTTCTGTTTTTCTAGCTTCTGTCCTGCAGGAGAAGAGACGGATTAGCCACAATTTTAAGGGACGTTTTTGTCCTTTTTGGACGCCGTGGGACACCTGCGGATGACGCACGCCTCTTTATCCCGCCGCACATCATTCCTCTGCCACGGAGTTTTTGTCGACTTCGTAATGAGCCTCATCGAAGCTGAACGACGAGGAGGAAGGTCACAAAGAAGAAGAAGAAGAAGAAGCAGCATCACGTCTCCTCGACAGGAGAAGTGAAGGAGACGTGTCAATGTAACCTCCCCCCCCCCGCATGGAGGTCAATTTGTTTCTTTAGCCAGGAGTCTCGTTCCTGTATCCAAGCAACCACACAAATACGTTGTCTTAGTAAACAATGTGCTGATGAACAACAGGAAACGGCTCACTAGATAAACCATATAAGTGATCAGTTCTGCAGTTTGTCAGTTAAATGCACAGCAAAGAGAATCTGAATATTGTCTGTGAGGTTTTTCTATTTCTCCCAAATCACAACACAGGTGTTTGAATCTCACCATCTCATTCTGTGGGAGACGTGTCGTTGTTGAGGCTTAATCAATGCTCTTTATCGTAATGCGGCGCCTGTTTTTTATTCCATCGGCATCTTGTTTTTATGTGTCTGGAGGACGGCCACATCTGGTGTGGTTGGTGGGGGGGTTGGTTGGTTGGGTGGGGGGTGTAACGTGGGCGTATTCGCGGCAGAAACGGGGCGTGAGCGACCGGGACAGAGAGGCGGAGGGAGGTGGAAGCTTTGATAAAAGGGAGAAAGAGAGACTGTTTGACTCCATTATGTTTTGTGAGAGAGAGAGAGTCTCTATCGCCAACCTCACTGCATCATTGTTGAGCCACAAAAGCCAGAGGAGGGAGGGGGGTTCTTTTGGGGGGGGCTGCATTGTCAGTGTGTGTTGCCTGGCAGGGAGGGTGACACTTGACCCCCCCACCCCCCTCCTCCTCCTCCTTTCTCTCTATTCAAGCCGTCCGGTGGCCATTATGAGGGGAAATTAGCTCCCTGTTCTTCCCTCACAAAGGTCAAAGGTCAAGGCTTGCAGCCGAGCATTTTGCTCCATTTTGTCGTTCCCTGATGAGGTCGACTTGAGCGTAATTGTGCTGGCAAAACATCTCACGCATCCCTCCTCTCGGTCGTGGCTAAAGGCAGCTGGCGTTCAGCAGACGAGCTGCGGGACGGCAGCATGAAAGGTGGAGGAGCGAGGTGGCGGGTGGAGGAGCCATCGCATGGCGTAGCTCGGGCCCAAGACCCGAGGTAATTCTCCCGACCTGAGCTTGCCGAAAGGATGATGAGAGTATTTTATTTCGCCGACTACAAGGGGAAGATCTGATGTTTGTTTGTTTGTTTGTTTGTTTGTTGGTAGGGAACCTCTCAGAGGCAAAAGGTGTTTTCCTGTGGAGAGGGAGGAGGAGACGAAGCGACTGACAGGTGGAGCAGCTGGATGTGAGACGACGAGCCATATTGTTGAATCACATTCACGCCGAGGCCACCTGCTGCTCCGACAGCCGACCAGAGAGACGCCGCAACGGCGCCGCGACCTCCACCTCAACAGAGACCCTGATTAGTCGGCAAATCATGCAATATTATTTCTAATTTCAGATTAATGGGAACCGACGCATTTGAGAAGCTGGACTTATTTTGGTGATTTAAAAAAAGTTGCTTTAAGTATCGTTTTTGTACCAGAAGTTAAACGAGGCAACATTTTTTTGATAAATATTCTTTTTTTTTTTTTCAAATAAAAAATGTGGAACATTTCCTAATATCAGCTTCTCACATGTTCTTGTTTGTAGACTTTATATTGAGTTTACCGGACAGAAAAAGGTGGATAACATGTTAATGTGACGCTTTGATGGGTGGAAGTCTGATTATCATCAGTTCCAGCTGTAATGTTATCAAGACCCTCCCGTCTGCTGGTCATTGGGGGGGGGGGGGGGCATTAAGGGCTGATTTCACAGTGGCCAAAAGAGGCCTCCCAGACTGTGGAAACGGGTCCCTTTTAAGAACTGGGTGGACCCGTGAAAAAGGGGCGGGGCATAAAAACACCACGGCCAATTTGTTAACCACCATCGATTGTGCACGCTGGGATGCGCCCCTCCGGACAACGACTCCGAAGCCCGCGGGGTTTTTATACGGGGATACTTTGCACTTCAGGAAACGGCTCACTAGATAAACCATATAAGTGATCAGTTCTGCAGTTTGTCAGTTAAATGCACAGCAAAGAGAATCTGAATATTGTCTGTGAGGTTTTTCTATTTCTCCCAAATCACAACACAGGTGTTTGAATCTCACCATCTCATTCTGTGGGAGACGTGTCGTTGTTGAGGCTTAATCAATGCTCTTTATCGTAATGCGGCGCCTGTTTTTTATTCCATCGGCATCTTGTTTTTATGTGTCTGGAGGACGGCCACATCTGGTGTGGTTGGTGGGGGGGTTGGTTGGTTGGGTGGGGGGTGTAACGTGGGCGTATTCGCGGCAGAAACGGGGCGTGAGCGACCGGGACAGAGAGGCGGAGGGAGGTGGAAGCTTTGATAAAAGGGAGAAAGAGAGACTGTTTGACTCCATTATGTTTTGTGAGAGAGAGAGAGTCTCTATCGCCAACCTCACTGCATCATTGTTGAGCCACAAAAGCCAGAGGAGGGAGGGGGGTTCTTTTGGGGGGGGCTGCATTGTCAGTGTGTGTTGCCTGGCAGGGAGGGTGACACTTGACCCCCCCACCCCCCTCCTCCTCCTCCTTTCTCTCTATTCAAGCCGTCCGGTGGCCATTATGAGGGGAAATTAGCTCCCTGTTCTTCCCTCACAAAGGTCAAAGGTCAAGGCTTGCAGCCGAGCATTTTGCTCCATTTTGTCGTTCCCTGATGAGGTCGACTTGAGCGTAATTGTGCTGGCAAAACATCTCACGCATCCCTCCTCTCGGTCGTGGCTAAAGGCAGCTGGCGTTCAGCAGACGAGCTGCGGGACGGCAGCATGAAAGGTGGAGGAGCGAGGTGGCGGGTGGAGGAGCCATCGCATGGCGTAGCTCGGGCCCAAGACCCGAGGTAATTCTCCCGACCTGAGCTTGCCGAAAGGATGATGAGAGTATTTTATTTCGCCGACTACAAGGGGAAGATCTGATGTTTGTTTGTTTGTTTGTTTGTTTGTTGGTAGGGAACCTCTCAGAGGCAAAAGGTGTTTTCCTGTGGAGAGGGAGGAGGAGACGAAGCGACTGACAGGTGGAGCAGCTGGATGTGAGACGACGAGCCATATTGTTGAATCACATTCACGCCGAGGCCACCTGCTGCTCCGACAGCCGACCAGAGAGACGCCGCAACGGCGCCGCGACCTCCACCTCAACAGAGACCCTGATTAGTCGGCAAATCATGCAATATTATTTATAATTTCAGATTAATGGGAACCGACGCATTTGAGAAGCTGGACTTATTTTGGTGATTTAAAAAAAGTTGCTTTAAGTATCGTTTTTGTACCAGAAGTTAAACCAGGCAACATTTTTTTGATGAATATTATTTTTTTTTTTTTTCAAATAAAAAATGTGGAACATTTCCTAATATCAGCTTCTCACATGTTCTTGTTTGTAGACTTTATATTGAGTTTACCGGACAGAAAAAGGTGGATAACATGTTAATGTGACGCTTTGATCGGTGGAAGTCTGATTATCATTCAGTTCCAGCTGTAATGTTATCAAGACCCTCCCGTCTGCTGGTCATTGGGGGGGGGGGGGGCATTAAGGGCTGATTTCACAGTGGCCAAAAGAGGCCTCCCAGACTGTGGAAACGGGTCCTTTTTAAGAACTGGGTGGAACCCGTGAAAAGGGGCGGGGCATAAAAACACCACGGCCAATTTGTTAACCACAATCGATTGTGCACGCTGGATGCGCCCCCCCTCCTCCGACCCCCCCCCCCCCCCCAGCGGCTTCTCATACGGGGAATCTTTGCACTTTAGGAAACGGCTTTCTAGATAAACCAGATAAGTGATCAGTTCTGCAGTTTGTCAGTTAAATGCGCAGCAAAGAGAATCTGAATATTGTCTGTGAGGTTTTTCTATTTCTCCCAAATCACAATACAGGTGTTTGAATCTCACCATCTCATTCTGTGGGAGAAGTGTCTTGTTGAGGCTTAATCAATGCTCTTTATCGTAATGCGGCGCCTGTTTTTTATTCCATCGGCATCTTGTTTTTATGTGTCGGGAGGACGGCCACATCTGGTGTGGTTGGTGGGGGGGTTGGTTGGTTGCTTGGGGGGGGGTGGGGGGGAGTAACGTGGTCGTACTCACGGCAAATAAGGGGCGCGAGCGGCCTGTACAGATTGGCTTAGGTGGGTGGAAGCGTTTGATAAAAGGGGGAAAAAAAGACTGGCTCCGTCACTATTACACGGGACATAGTTCTTCTTCTCTTTTTTTTTTTATTGTTTTTT